TGGAATGATAATGCTGCTGTGGGGTTGCGTTCCCGGTGCACAGAGTGCCCTGTGCCAGGTTCTGGAGACACGTCCAGGCCTGGAGAGAGCAACACACACAGGGTCTGGAAGGTTGTTTTTTACCCTGCCCACCAAGGAACACAGTGAAAAAGGGAGCTGAGAGGTGAAGCATCTAAGTGGGAGCTGGGAGATTTGGGCTGACCCTCGAGAAGCTGCTTCCCCACCCCGTGCCCTCCTGCTCTGCCTCACCATCACAGCAACACTGGCAGGGATTGACAGGCCTGGCTGGAATAACAGCCCAGTGATGCCCAGGAAGGATTATTTTAGAACAATATGTGTTTTTTAAAGTGAGCTTCTGAGCACAGAGGGCTGGTCCATGGCAGTGCCAGCGTGTGGCTCTGCCCTGTTGTGGGTACTTGTCCTGGAGCACAGGGGGGACAGCAGAGCACTGGCAGGCAGGACCCTCATGGTGATGCAGCTCAGCCCCCGGCTTCTCCTGGAAAAAATAGCTGGAACTGGTAAAATTTCACATTCTTGGCCAAGATGATCTGGGGTTTTTGTCTTGAGTACAGTATATTGATGCATTTCAGAGTAATGGGGCTGTGGTTGGGAGTGCCACATCCTCGCTGTCACGCTGTGCTCATCAGCCAAACTTGGGGCATCGCTCACAGAGAAGGGGAAGGAAACAGGGGGGTTAAATGTGCATTTTTTATATAAAACAACGTGCTTGGCCACATCTCCTTGTTGCCGTGCTCCAGTTCCATGCCAGTGGGGTGGTAATGCTCGATTAGCAGCTCAGGTTCCACAAGCAGTGCAGCGCTAACGAGCCCTGCCTGGAGCGTGCGGTGACCTCTTTGCTTCCCTCCACATTCCCAGCACTTGCAGCCACGGGCTCCCACACCACAGCTGCCTCTTACCTGGCTCTTGCTTACTTGTCCCAGGCAGACAAAATTTTGTGCTGGGCTCGAGGCACCCAGGAGTCAGGAACTTGGCTGGGCTCAACCTGCACTAGCCCAGCTGCCCCGGTTTGTGTGTGGCCAATAAAGTGGGGAAGAGCAGGCTGGGCAGAACCTCTGTGGCCTCTCAGAACCCTTAAAATAGAAACCTATATAAATGGGATATTATATAGTAACATACCAAACAGAGTCTATATATAGAAGGTTAGTCAGGAGTCAGGACTAAGCAGACAGATACAAACACAGCCAGGAGCTCTGGATTCATTGTCTCACCTGGCGAGGGAAGCTCGTGGTGCTGTGGTACCTGGTCCAGGGGATGCTTTTTATCACCCCAAACCAAGCTCTGCTCCTGCATCTGTGGCAGGTGGGCAGAGGGCAGTGCTGGTTTCCCACCACTGCAGGCATATTATCCCTGCCTTTTTTTGGCATAGTCCTGTTTGTTTGGATATCAGTTATTTTTCCCAAACGGTCTGTGTGATGATGGTGTCAGACACCAAAAATGGACATTCTGCTGGTGACAAAAACCCTTTCAGGCTGTGAATTCTCCTCTCTAGCTACTTGTGAAGGACAAGTAATGCAGCAGCCCTTTCTCCATACGGATACAGGAAGCCAGTGACAGTGTTGGGCAGAGGAAAACCTCTGTGGTTACTGCTTACTGAGCAGGAGGAGCTGCTCCTGTTGGGAAGGAAGGCACTGTCCACCTCAGAAAAAAAGAAAAACAAAGAATTTGGCCGGGGTCAGGCAGCAGGTCAGTGGCAGGAGCAGAGGGAAAGGTCTGGGAACCCTCTTCCCTCCAACGCCGCCGACGGAGCCGCTGCCTCCACGTAGGATCCCTGTACGTGTCAGAGAGGTGGGGGAGATTGGCTCTCACTCCCAGGGAAGTTCAGCGACTGTGAAATTAGTAAATTACACAGGCCCACAGAACTTAGAAAAACAATATAATCCTGGGGGTACTGAAATAATTAATTTGCTAATCAACTACACCTTGTTTTTTTTTTTTTTTAATTTGCAAATAGCGCTCTGGTTTGATTTCCCACTTCAGCCACCTCAAGGAAACAATATTTTGGGCAGCAAAGCCAGAGGGGCTCGAGGCAGGGCCGAGCCCCCCCATATCACACCGGGGGCTGCAGGGCAGTGGGGAGAAGCAGCCTCAGCACGGCAGTGACCCCAGCAAGAGCTGGAAGATGCTTTAGGGGGGGCTTTGCTGTGCTCTGGGTCCAACCCCCAAGCCGGGAGGGAAGAGCCGGGGCCGCAGGGCTCCCGCAGAGGTTTTGTGCTGGTTTGTCTCCTGCTCTCGCTGCACCCTTGTTTGCTTTAAATCACTTCAAATGCGGAGGCTGTCAGACAAGACAATTAACATGGGGAAGGGGGAAAGTATTACCATCCATTATTTGCCATAACATGAATTTAAGCCGGGAAGTCAAATGATAAAATATGTGGTGAAAAGTGTTGGTGGTGGGAGTGCCTAAATGAGTAATAGCCCTGGGCTTCTGAGCCTTGAACTTAACGTGCTAAGTAAATCCCCGAGGTCAAAAAGTATGAAAATTGTTGCAGCTTGGGGAGATATATTTTAACTTTGGAAAAAGGTCCGTGCAGATCCGCTGCCGAGGTCGGGGAGGCAGCCGCCGCTCCGGGGCTTACACCGATGTCGGGGGGGTGGGTGCTTGTTTGGGGGAGAAAAAATCGAGGAGGCGGTTTGGGGGGTGGTGAGGGCTCGCCTTGGCCGGGCGGGATGAGCCGGGAGCGCTTTGTGCCGCCGGCAGCGGCTCCGAGGGGTCCCCAGCGCCGCAGCTCCGCCGGGAGAAGCGATGGGAACAACCGCTGCGACCCCCCCGGAGCCCCGACGGGACGGGGCGGACCCGGGGGCAGCGGGGCCGGGGGGCGCGGGGGTCCCCGCTCCGCTCTAACGCGCCCCAACTCTTCCCCTTTAAAACTCCTTCTCCCGCTCGCGCTGACCATGCGGCTGGATTTATGGAGAGAGATGTTTTAGCAGAATCCCCCCGAGTCCCCCATCAGCCCTAAATCCCCAGCCCGCGCTCCCTGGGAGCCCTCCTGACACAGAGCATGCCAAAACAGCTTCGTTTTGCCTATGCATTAGCAATCTATTTTACCTTTTTGACATCTCTCACACATAAAACCGTAAGAGAGAAATAAAATATCTGTCTCTGGGCGAAAATAAAGCTTTGCCTCCCTCCTGATCTATAGGATATAAAATAAAGCCATGGCTTTGATAGTGGCTTTTCCTTAGACTGGAGTTGCTTTTGCACACACGGAGACAATGAAGATGGATGAGCCGGGAGCGGTGCATCCTCCGGGGGTTCGCTTCACCCTCTTTTTTTATAGCCCCCCCCCCCCCCCCACCCCTGCTACCTCTTCACTTTTCTTTCTTTTCTCTTTTATTCGTCTTTTATCCGCCCTTTAACAACGCTCAGTGAAGGACCCCGCTCAGCTCTCGCACACCCGCAGTTCCCGCCGGGCTCGCCCCAGAGCCCCCCACGCCGGGGGGCTCGGGGACCCCCCCCCCGGGCCACCACCGGCCCCTTCCCGGCCACTTTCCCGTCAGTCAGAGGCAGAGCCGCACACCTCGGATTTGTAATTATTTATTAACTATATTTCCCATAAACAATGCATGAGCTTGGAGTGTAAGCGACAACATTTAGCGACGTGGGAAGAAACCCGGGAGGGCTAATCACGGGGGAGGGGGGCAGGAAAATAAATAAGAAAAAGGAAAATAAATAGAAAAGAAATAAAAGAAAAGGGAAAGGCGAGCGGAGCCAGGGGGGCACAGTGCGGTGTTTACCCTCAGCATCGACCCGAGTGTGGCAGGATAAACTGGGACCCTCTAATACATAATTTAAAGATCTTTTTCTTCTTCTTTTTTTTTTTTTTCCCCAAGCTCTTTTAAAACAAACCCGGCTACGGATCCTGTCCAGCCATGGGGTTTATTGCGCGGGGATGTTCTACAGGCTTAATTACATCTTAACTTCAATATTTGGATAGTGCATTAAGCGCATATATATTTAATCAGGCGGAGGCGCTCTTTCTGCGGGGGAAAGTGGTGGGGAGGGGGGGGAGAGATGTGACCCCCACCTTCCCCACGGGCTGTCCCCCCGTAGCGCTGCCCGGGGTGGCGGGGGGCGCTCCGGTAGCTCCCGGAGGGGAGCGCGGCGGCGGCTCGGAGCGACCCCCGAACCCCGAGCAGGGCTCCACCGGGATGCGGAGGGGTAGGAACGGGAACTCAGGGCCTCCCCCGGCCTCCCCCCACGTCGAGGATGCTGCCGGTCACCGGCTCTGTCGGTTGCTCAAAGCCCGGTATCATCCCCGATCCCGTGCGCGCTCCTTGTGAAAGATTAAAAAGAACGGGGGAAATCAAATGAAAAATGAATAGGGAAAGAGGGAAAACTTAATGCTGTCGGGGGAGGGACACGGTGGAAAGTGTCTGCGAGCGCGTGGAAGTTTTTGCCTGGTTTGGAGGGGGGGAGCAGCTGGGGATGCGGGGATGCCCCGCAACGCACCGCAGTGGTCCCCGGCGAGCGAGCTCTGGTGTTCGTATGGCACCGGTACCCCATAAAGGAGAGAGAAATCCCATTACCCAGCGCAGCAGTGGGGAAAGGGGGGGATGATAAACAGGGTGATGTTTAACTAAAAAGGACGGGAACGACACCAATAAAATGCAAATTTAAACTCCCCTGAAAAGGACATTTTTTTTCCCCCCTTCTGTATTCGATTTAAAATGAATTTGAGTTTGGGGTTTTTGTTTGGTTGTTTTAGTCTTTTATTTTCACTTTTTTTTTTTTTTTTTTTTTTTTTTTTTTTTTTTTTTTTTTTTTTTTTTTTTTTTTTTTTTTTTTTTTTTTTTTTTTTTTTTTTTTTTCTTTTTTTTTTTTTTTTTTTTTTTTTTTTTTTTTTTTTTTTTTTTTTTTTTTTTTTTTTTTTTTTTTTTTTTTTTTTTTTTTTTTTTTTTTTTTTTTTTTTTTTTTTTTTTTTTTTTTTTTTTTTTTTTAATTTTTAATTTTCCCCTTTTAGAAGCATCTTTTAATGTCCCTCTTTCTTTTTATTTGTACGCTTCTAATGTCCCTCAGCGAGGCCGAGCGAGGTTGCTCTGGAACATCCCGGCCGGTTCCCTGCTCAGTACGGGTGGGTTCGGACCTGCCAGGGGCTGGGGGCTCAGACCAGGGTGGGATCGGATCTGGGCGAATTGCGAAATGCAGTGAAAACCAAAAAATCCATCCCGACTCAGAGGCCCGGCCCTAGGAAGGGACTGTGCCGCCCATCCCTGTGGCCTTGGGGGATTATTTCCCCCCGCCTCTGGGGCTCCCGTGGGTGCCCCCACGTCGGGACACGAGTGTCCCGGGGGCACAGAAGACTCGGGGGAGCCTGGGGATGGCGGGGTTTGATTTTCGGATCCTGGTGGAAAAAAGCGCGGGCACTTTCGCCTCTCAAACGCCTGCTCTGGGTCAGGGTTCCCGTTAGGGGGTGAGGCGGATGGGGGGCACCCCACTGCCCCCTCCGTCCAGGGGGAGCAGCCTCCCTCGGTCTGCGCTGCCGCCTCTCCCGAGCGGGGTTTTTTGGGGGGTTGTGTGTGTGTTGGGGCGGACGGGCAGAGCCCCACGATAACCGCAGCGGTGCGGGGGCACCCCGGACCCCCGGGAAGGTGGGGGGTGGGCAGCAGCGGTCTGTGCCCCCCGGGGAGCAGGGGAGAACCAGATGCTTTCGCTAACGCCTGGGAAAGGAGAAAAAAAAAAAAAATCGCTGTGAAAAACTGGTGCTTGATGGACACGAGATGCTCATCTCCTTCCCCTCATTCATCCCCACCGACACATGTCACCGGGGGCCGCAGCCGAGGGTTGCGCTCCCCTGACGGCTGCCCGCAGCTGTCGCCTTCCCGGGCGGCGGAGCGGGAGCCCGGCCCCGCGGCTCCGCATGAGAAGCGGTCCATGTGCGGGGGCACCGGGCGGGGGGGGGCCCAGGGCTCTATTGATCCCCGAGAGCGGCGGCGAAGCGACCCAACAGCTGGGCGGGGGGAGCCCTGCGCGCCCGGTGCGCGCCCCGACGGGGCGGGGATGGCCGCACAGGGGGGAACGGCGAGGGGGGGAAAGGCGATATCGAGGATGCGGCCCCTGGGCTTTTAAACACCCGCAGGAGCTCCGAGGCGATGTCTCGGCCCGGGCAGGCTCCTCATCCCCGCCGGTCCCGGCTGACCCCCGCGCGGAGCAACGGGCAGGGCGCGGAGCGGGCTTCCTGCCTTCCTTTTCCTTTTTATCTTCCGATTTCTCCCTCCCTCGCTTTTTTCTTTTCCTCAAGGACGAGGAAAACAGATGTGAAAGAGAGCGCGGTCGGTGGGTACAGGCGGGGGATGCTCCGGGACGGGCCTCCGCCGACCCCCGCGCTCAGCCCCGGTTCCTGGCCGTGTGTGTAACCCCGGGCACGCCGGGGCCGTTCAATGTGCCGTTCCCTTCCTAATTCCCCGGCGGCGGCGTCTCAGCCGGCCCGAGGGGACGGTGCGGGGCGGGCTCCGGGGCTGGCAGGGCCCGGGGCCGGGCAGTGACACCTCCCCGGAGCGGTGGTTCCCGCCGGGCAGGAAAGCGCAAAGGAAAGAGAAACCTCGTCCCTCCACACCGCCCCGGTACCGACCGGCCCCTGGAAGGTAAAAGCGAATTAATCTTTATTTATCCCCCCCCAAAAAATGTCTATCCCAGTGGCCGGTGCTCCTCGTCCCGGGACAGGCACTGCGTGCGCCGGTAACGGAACCATCGCTATAATGACCGGCGCCTTCGCTCTGCCCTCGGAGGCCGGGGGGCCCCGGGCCCGCCGCCCCCTCCCCACCGGCGCGGGGCCCGGCCTCGGCCCCACCGCAGCGCTCCTCCCGGGACAGGCGGGTTCTCCTCAGCTCCACGCAGCGCGGGAGCCCCCCGCGCCCTCGGGCCGCGCCGTGCGCGAAGGGGGAACCCCCCGCTAAAACGGGACCTCGTTCGCCTCCGCCGCCGCCGCTCGCCAGCGAGCCGCTCCTATTGCAGACCGCGCCGTGACCCTGTGCGGGGGGTGCCGGACGCCATCGAGCCGCCCCGTCTCCTCGCACCCACCGTCCGCTCGTCCGCGCACCGACACAAACCTACCGCTTCCACCGGGCTTCGGGGGCCGTCGGTGTGTCTGTCGGTCGGTCGGTCGGTGTGCCGGTCGGTCGGTGTGCCTGTCGGTGTGCCGGCCGGCCGGCGGGCCGGCGCGGGCGGAGGCGGCGGCGGCGCCCCGGCGGCTCCTATAAAGGGGCGCGGACGCCCCGTCCGGCGCGGGCGCGGCGGGCGCGGGGGGGCGGCGGCGGCGGCCGCGATTGGCCGGGCCGGGCCGTGACGTGCGCGCGCGGTCCATAAGGCTGCGGCGGCGGCGGCGCCGGGACCATGAGCAGAGCCCCCAGCGCGGCCGGACGGCGGGGCCGCCCCTCTGCCCCGCGCCCTCCGCCCGGCCCGGCCCGCCCGCCCCGGGCCCTCCGCACCGACACCCGCACCGCCCGGGCCATGCCACGCCGCGCCGGCTCGGCGGGGACACGGGCGGCCGCCGCGGGTAGCGATGCGCGGGGGTAGGTAGGACCGACTGGTGGACGGACGGACTGACTGACGGACGGACTGACAGACGGACGGTGCCGCCGAGACGTCGAGGGAGAGGGAGAGAAGCGAGAGCGAGCGGCGGAGCGTGTCCCCGTCCCCGCGTGTCCCCAACCCCGCGTCAGGGCGATGTCGCCGCGGCAGCAGCCACAGCCCGTCTGACCGCCGCCGCCTCTCCATGTCCCGGCTCGTTATTTATTATTATTATTATTATTATTATATTATTATTATTATTGTTATTATATTTTTTCCTCCTTTGATTTCTCTTTGGGAAAAGCACTTTGACTCCTGACTGCTCTACCTCAGATCCGAGAAAAAACTCATCACGCTCGCTTTTTGGCGATTTTGTTTTGAATTTTTGAATTTTTATTTTTTCTGAACACCGATCTTTATAGCTGTTATTGTTTTATTGTTACTCTTATTATTATTATTATTATCCGTGTGGTTGATAGCGACCGGGATCCTGCGACTGTGTCGAAGCGCTGGGCAGTGGGGGGTTCTCCTGTGTACCCCTCCTAGGACACTCGAACGAAGATATTTCTTCTTCTTCTCTTTATTCTTTCCTCCTTCACTTCTCCAAGGCTTTTAAAACAAACACACACACACAGGAAAAAAAAAAAAAAAAAAAAAAAAAAAAAAGGAGAGAGAAAGAGAGAAAAAACCCCAAACAAAACAAAAAACAAACCTTGGCCGGTGTTGTCATCTTTTTGAAAAAAAAAAAATTGTTGTTTTAATTTTTTTTTTTCTTGACACCTGGGAAACCGCTGCCCCCCTCAGAACTAACCAAAGACAATGGTTCACTGTGCAGGCTGCAAAAGGCCGATCTTGGACCGGTTTTTGTTGAATGTACTGGACAGGGCTTGGCATGTGAAGTGTGTTCAGTGCTGTGAATGTAAATGCAATTTGACAGAGAAATGCTTTTCGCGAGAAGGCAAGCTTTACTGCAAAAACGACTTCTTTCGGTAAGTACCGGCCCCGCCGCTCCTCTCCATCCGTTTTTCATCTCCATTTCTTTTCCCCTTTATTTCTGCTGTTTCCCCCCCTTTGTCAGCGGAACCCACAAGCGCCTCTTCCCTCCCGGTGACACGCGAACATCTCGAGCCGCTGTTATTTCTCCCCGGCTGGGGTCGGACCCGGGCATGGGCCCGTCGGGCCCTGCATGTCGGTGACAGGCCGATCTCGAGTTCTCCAAAGTTGCTCCCGAACTATCGACCGGCGGAGCGGTGCGGGGCCGGTGCGGGCCCGTGGCGGGGGGTGTGCAGGGGCCGTCCCAGGCCCGGTGCTGGGAGCGGGGGTGACCCCGCCGGGGCTTTCCGCGGCCGTGAGCGTGGCGCTGCCCGGGGCCGGGGCCCCGAGTTGTCCCCCCGGGCCCGGTGCCGCCGGGGAAGGCCCAGTACGGGCGCTTCGCGGGCCCATCGCCTCATGTCCAAACGAAACCAGGCTGCCCCGGAGGGCAGCGACCCTTCCCCACCGGATGGATGGAGAGGGCAGCGGGTACCGCCGCTCTCTCGCCGCCGCTTCTCCCGCTCATCCCGGTGCCGCTGCCCGGCTGGGCCCCGCCGCCGCGCACCGGCGAGAAGGGCAAGGACCGCCGAGCCCCCACTGCACACCCGCACAACGCGCGGCCCGATCCCCGCAGCCGCCTCTTCCTGGGCACGGGGACCGGCACCGCTCCGAGCCCGCCGCTCCTCCGCGGGGATGGGCCCCGCTGTCCCTCCCTCTCCCCGCGCTGGCCTTGCCCGCACCGGCGGCTCCTCCGACCGACCGGGCCGTTCAGAACGGATGGAATTTCTGCGTGGTGTTTATTAGAGCGTCGTTAATGCGGTGTCGGGACGCAGGGGACACCCCGGGCAGCGCAGCCCCAGGGTCCATCAATCCCGCAGCCCCGCGGCCACGTTTGATTTTTATTTTTAAAAAACACGGTATCAAGAATTTGCTCGTTAGGGAGACAGAGCGCTTTGCGGGGACGCCGTGTTTTGTTTAGTTCCGTTTTTGCACGGCCAAGCGGGGCGAGCGGAGGCCGCGGTGAGGGGCGCGGGGGCCCCGCGGCTCGGCGGGCGCTGCTGACCCGCTGCCCGGCCTCTCTCTGCAGGTGTTTCGGGACCAAGTGCGCGGGCTGTGCCCAGGGCATCTCCCCCAGCGACCTGGTCCGCAGGGCGCGGAGCAAAGTGTTCCACTTGAACTGTTTTACGTGTATGATGTGTAACAAGCAACTCTCCACCGGCGAGGAGCTCTACATCATAGACGAGAACAAGTTTGTCTGCAAAGAAGATTACCTAAATAACAGCAATACTGCCAAAGAAAACAGTCTGCATTCAGGTGAGGGAACACAGCCAGGGCGATGCAGGCGGGGATGCGCTCAGCCCCGGCTGCTCCTTGGGATGAGATGCTCTTCTCCCTTCTTCTCTTCTTTCCTTTCTCCTCTTCTTTCTCCTTCCTTTCTTCTTTATCCTTCCTTCTTCTTTCCCTTTTTTACTGCTTACTTTTTCTTTCCTTTTCCCCTTCTTTTCTCTCTTCTTCTCTCCCTTCTTTCTCCTGTCCTCTCTCCTCTCTCTTTCCTTTCGTTTCACTTCTTTCTCCTCTCCATTGTCTCTTCTTTATTTTTCTTCTCCCTTTCTCCTCTCCCTTCTCTCCTCTCCTCTCCCCTGTCGTACCACGGCCTGTCCCTCACGGTGTGTATTTCCCCCCGGCTGACTGTGACCCGGTTTGCTCTCCCCCAGCCACCACCGGCAGTGACCCCAGCCTGTCCCCCGACTCTCAAGACCCCTCCCAGGACGACGCCAAGGACTCGGAAAGCGCCAACGTGTCCGACAAGGAGACGGGCAGCAACGAAAACGACGACCAGAACCTGGGGGCCAAGCGGCGGGGACCTCGCACCACCATCAAAGCCAAACAGCTAGAGACTCTGAAAGCCGCCTTCGCGGCCACCCCAAAACCCACCCGGCACATCAGGGAGCAGCTGGCACAGGAGACTGGCCTCAACATGCGGGTCATCCAGGTACCGCCGCCTGCGGGCCCCGGGCGCGGCTCCGGGGGATGCGGGAACGCCAGTCTGGGGATGCAAGGGAGAGGAATGGCCCGTGCCCGGCACCCCCCGCACGGCGGGGCCGGAGAAAGCCCCACCGACCTTTTAAATCGTTGTTACCGAGGCGGCCCGGCACCTTCCCGGTGCTTCCCGGCCCGTCGGCAGGGACGGAGCCGCGGGTTTATTCTCAAAAGTCCTGAAGAAGCTGAAAGTAGTTTCGAAATTAATAACCAGAAATGTGAGGGGTTAATGGGTAAATAAGAATGACAATGCGCTGGAATTATTAAAAGGTTTATAAACCCGCAGCGCTGGGGTAATGGGGGGTTAAAGGACCATTAAAGATGAGGTTAGATTGGAGAGGCTCAGTGTGAGGGTAATTAGCAGTAATCTTGTCAGGGTAATAAGAATTAACTCAATCATTCTTGACCTGCAGACGGCGGGGAGCAGGGCCACCGTCACCCGTGGGTTCGGCCCCGTTTGGAACGAGAAGGAGCCGAGCTCTGAGAGCACCGGCAAAAAGAGACCGGGAAAGGGGAAAAGCGCGTCCCGGGGATGGGGATGAGAATAGGAATGAGGGGGAACGGGGGCGCGGGGCGGCGGCGTGAGCGGGACCCCCGACTCCGCGGCTCCCGTGACCGGCGCCTCTCCCGCCACCCGCCCAGGTCTGGTTCCAGAACCGGCGCTCCAAGGAGCGGCGGATGAAGCAGCTGAGCGCGCTGGGCGCCCGGCGACACGCCTTCTTCCGCAGCCCGCGCAGGATGCGGCCGCTGGTGGACCGGCTGGAGCCCGGGGAGCTCATCCCCAACGGGCCCTTCTCCTTCTACGGAGGTGGGTAACGCGCTCCCCCCGCGGCCCCTCGCCCCGTGCGCCCGCGGACACCCCGCGCCGGGATGCGCGGACACCCGCGGGGACACCGCGCGGACACGCCGGGCTCCTGGCTCGGCTCCCGGCAGCGCTGCCCCGCAGCCCTGGGGCCGTCCCGCTGTCCTGGGGCCGTCCCTCCCGGTTTCCCCCCCCTCCCCGCCGCGGGATTTCCCGCTCCTGGGGGTGGCCATCGCGGCGCTGCGATGCCCCGATTTTTTCGGGGTGCCGGCTCCTGTCGGTGCCTCCGCTGCTCTGCGGGAAGGGGGTCCCAGGGCTGCCGGAGCCCGGCCAGCCCGGCAACACGTTTTCCCCTCGGGTTCGCGGGTGAGACCCCCGAGCCCCCCAGCCGCGCGGCCGTGGCAGCGCTCCCGCGTCGTTCCCACTCGGGTGCCCTCCTGTTACCTTCCCTCTGTCTCTCCTTGTCCGCCAGATTATCAGAGCGAGTATTACGGCCCTGGAAGCAATTACGATTTCTTCCCGCAAGGACCGCCTTCGTCTCAAGCGCAGACCCCCGTGGATCTCCCCTTCGTGCCCTCCTCGGGGCCGTCGGGCACCCCGCTGGGGGCCATGGACCACCCCCTGCCCGGACATCACCCCTCCAGTGAGGCTCAGCGCTTCACTGACATCATGTCGCACCCCCCGGGAGACTCGCCCAGCCCCGAACCCAACCTGCCCGGGTCCTTGCACTCCATGTCCGCAGAAGTTTTTGGCCCCAGCCCCCCCTTTTCATCGATATCCGTCAACGGTGGTGCTAACTACGGCAATCACTTGTCCCACCCACCAGAAATGAACGAAGCAGCTGTGTGGTAGCTTTAAAACAAACTGGGTCTAAGTAAGTGATGATCATCTAGTCTGCTTATTGTTATGGTGTACAGAAATGAATTAATATAACATCTCTCCCGCCCTAAGACAATATTACCTTGGGAACGAACTGAATCCAATCGCTCCAAGGCAAGCTTTGCTCTAGACCAGGACAATCTCCATGTTATGGTTGTATCAGACAAGCGAGGGGACTTTTTTTGTACCATTGACAAAGAAACTGGGGAAAGCTGTACAGTAAAAGTGCTGCCATACCGTAGGATGGCGTAAGTTTGATTACCCTGTTGGATGTCATCCTAAGAGCCACAATCCTTAGAAACTTCTCGTTTAAAAAAACAAAACAAAACAAACAAACAAAAAAAGGAATTGATAATTGAATGAAGGAAAGGTCAAAGAAAAGGGGGAAAAAAAGCTTCAAGAACTCTCTAGCGTTCCCGGTTAAGGATGGTTCTGGCATTATGAATCTGTTTGTTCATTTTTGTCTCTCAGAAAGTTCGACAGCAAGAAACTCTTTTTAGCTTCAGCCATTTCAGCCTGCTGACGATCAGGTGGGACAACTTTTTTCTTTTCTTTTGTTTTTCTTTGCTGGTTTGGTTTGGTTTGGTTTCTTTTTTTTTTTTTTTTTTTTTTTTTTTTTTCCAAAAATAGCAAATACTAAATGTTAAGCCCTCAGCACCAACTCTTCTACCTTCACAAAGCTACACGTACAAAACCTCCTCATCATAGCAAAGGTCACCACCCAGACCTCTAACGAAAATGACTTGAAAAAACAAACAAACAAACAAAAAAGTATTCTACCTTCACAGAGAGAGAAAAGCTAAACAAAAAGACTCTATTGAACTAAAAACAGTCAACTGTTTACGTCTAATGTTAAATTCAGGAGCTCAATGTTTTACTAATAAATCCTGTTTTAGAAAAACCTCTTGTTCAAAAGCAAAAGATTTTGAGCAACCAACCAAAATAGTTCATTTTCTTTTCTGTAGATGTTCTAACAGATTGCAGGGCTTGTGGTTCACTGTGCTAGTTTGTAAAAGGTGTTGTTTACAGAAGGCAAAGAAAAAAAAAACCCACAAAACCCAGACAGTTGCCAAATAAAGTAAATATATAGCACAAATACTGTAAGGTGCTTTGCACCAGCAACCCGAGAAGGTGTTTAAAAAGTGTTACAAGGTTAAAAAGAAAAAAAAAAAAAGACAAACAAACATCTTTGCTAATTTTTAGTCCTGTTGAACATTCATGGAATTGTTAATATGACTTATATAGACCCACACAGGTTTTATTTTTGTGTCTTTAAAATAAAAGTCCAAAATATTTAAATTTTATGGTCAAATATGCAGTCAACAGCTGCTACTTTTTTCTTTATATATTAAATTTCTCATATGTCTTTTATTGTTCTAATAAACCTAAGCTTGTGTGACCTCCAGTGCATATTAGACCATTCACTGTATGAAAGAAAACATGTTGGATAAAATTTGTGCGTTTTTAATAAAATTAGAAAATCTGATGTTTAGATAACTTGTGTTTCATTCGATGTTTTAAGCAATTTTTTTTGAAATTGATTCTCTTGAGTAAAATAGCCCTGAGAGAGAATGATCCACTCTGCTGATAGTCCTGTAGAGCTCTTTTGCTTTGGTAGAAGTCTAAGCCCTGGTGTCGATGCAGGGAGCGGCCAGAGGCAGCTCCAGCCTTTCTTTCCATCTCCAGGCTCAGTTGTTGAAGTCCAAATACCCTGTTACGCTGTACTTTGAATTTTAAAATTGGAAACTAATCAAATTATTAAATATCTTTCGTTATTCGTGGTCGATGCTAAGAGAAAACATTCCAAATGCTTCTTTTATGCATAAACAAAAATGTGTTGTAAATGTAAAATGCTTGCAAAGATATGGTTTATAATCGATCTGGTTTTAGTTAATTCTCCAAAGATAATTTTGGTGTTTTTTGGTTTGTTTTTTTTTTCCTAATTGGATGGTTTGAACACAGCGTAACCTCAATGTCCTGAATGTAATTTTAATCCTTTTTTTTTTTTTTTTTTAAAGAGGTGAGACAAAGTCAATTGTTTGACAGCGTTTGGTCTTTCTGAAGTTCTCCAAAGGGCAGAGGGGGAGAATATTTTGCTTTGCACTAGATACAGACTCATTTTCTCGGAGAAAAATGAAACAAAAAAATTCTGGAGCCTTGTGAAATGCCAGATTTCATGTTTTAATTAGAAATCATTGCAGAATCCTAAATACTCATTTCTCCAAAAGCAAAAGTCTCACTTGTTCCAGGAGGACTTTGACGTGTGTTAGAGACAAAGAATCAGGTTCGGTTCTGAGAAGTCGCTGGTTTTAAATGTTTTCCACCTGCTGAGCTGATGGAATGGGATGATCTGTAATTGCATCTTTTCCTTCGTCTCTCAACTAACCGTGGCTCAGGCTTCTTTTTTATTTCATGTAGACACGGAATTTGATGCTAAACCCCAGATTTCTACGTTCCCAGTGATTCCATTATTTATCTCTTTGGACTGGGCGGGGGGGGAAGGGGGGGAAGAAACCCACAACCTCAAAATGCTTTAAAGTTGTATGTTTGTAATATTCAATGGTGACTTTTGATTTTGTTCACTACCTAATTTCTATGCCCAGCAGAGGGGCCAACTAGACGAAGCAATAGTTCACTTTAAACACAAAATGTCTTATATAATAATAGTATAAAGATAAAAACTATCTGCAAGGGATCTGTTAGTGTTTCTAAAAAAAAAATAATTCATGCTTTATTAAATACAGGGGAGACTTCTTAAACTCCTGGGCTCCATGTCTAACTCATTTATTTGTCTTTTGTACTGTTGCCGTGTTTTGTTGCTCTGGTTTGCATTTATATAAGCGAAGGAATGGGTGATTTATTTATTCCAAACTTCTACTTATCTGGGCAAGACAAATACTGCTGTTTGTGCTTCTGGTCCAGGCTGCTGGTTTATTGTTGAATCAATTATTTTAAATTAGAATTTCGCCAGATGGGCTTGGTTTGTAGAAAACACGTCTGCCGAGTGATTGGGGGGGAGGGGGGAGTTGTTATTTTATTTTCTTCATTTGGTAACAAGGTCCTTGCGCAGTTTTTATTTTGGCAGTGCTGTGATGCGGTTCAGTTTAGGTCAGTGGCTCTAAAAGGGAAGGAGGAGAGCCTGTCCTTTTGTCAGTGCTCTCATCCCTTCCCGAGGGGCTTTGGCAGTTTGGGGGCAGCGCAGGAGCCTTTCCCGTGCCTGTCCCTCGGTGCTCCCGGGGCTCCGCTCCGGAGGCCCCGGCCCTTGGCAGATTCGAATCCTGTGCTCCTCGGTGCAAGCTCGGTGCTTCTGAAGACCCTAATCCAGCAACAATTGCACAGTCAAAACTCCTTTTGAAAGCATTGTCACGTTGGGTTCTTGTAAGTCCTTGTTTACAAGAGCGTTTCCATTGACTCCGTGCGGGGCGGGCGTTCCGTGGTGAATGGAGGTCTGGGGGAGAAGGGCCTCCAGGAGCTGCTGCTGCTGCTGGGGTGGGTTCTCCGTGAGGAGCTGCTGCTGCTGGGATGGGTTCTGCATGAGGAGCTGCTGCTGCTGGGGTGGGTTCTCCATGTGCACAGTCGTTCTTTCCCGCAGGAAGGTGGAGGTGCCGCTCTCCGCGCGTGCAGCGTTAACGCCACGAGCGCTTGTCTGAAGTAACTGCTCTCTTCTGATCTTTTCTCCCTCCACTGCTGCTGGTTTGCCGTGCCCTTGTTGCCGTGCCCCAGCAGAGGGGATGGCACACCCCCACAGGGCCGGGATGGACCTGTGGGCTGAGCAGGGAACGCGGGCTGTGAACAAACCAGGCTGACGACTTGGGCAAACCCCCGTGGCAGACACGGACCCGTCACTGGGAGAGCGGTTCGAGGAACGTGTTGTGAGTATCACCCATACTGAGCTAATCTGTGTGAAGATTTTGGGGGGTTAATAGAAGTGTCTATAAAAGGCTGGGAATTTGCAGCAGCCAAACAGCTGCTTTTGGCCCCAAAGTGTCCCGCGCTGCCCCCACCAATGCTCCCCTCTGCCCATTCCAGGCCCTGCTGGGATCTGCTCACTCAGACATTTGCTTGGGGATTCCATGGGATTTGGGAAGATCTGTATCCCAGGAGGAAAAATGTACTTAAACTGTGATTTGTAGATGAATGAAGTATATACATAAATATATATATATATACATATAATTTTAATATGTGTCCCCAGACGCTGAGCGATGGGCAACATGACACAAACTGATAAATAAATATAATTTTAAAATGTCAGTGGTAATCTACATACTTTTGCCACCCAAGTAGTGGTGGATATTGCAGTGTCCTCTAAGAATGGCAAAAGGAACCATAGTCTGGATTTTTTTCCTTGAACAAGTGTGTTGTCTTTCAGCTTTGCATGTTCTTAAAATATGAAATTTACGCATTTGCAATCTCCTTTTCTGTTACCACCCCGGTAGATAAATTCATCTCTATTAAGATGAAACAATTGATACATATCCTTATAGCCTGGTGAGCTGGGAACAGGGAAATGTGATGCTGGAGTGGAAGGTCTTTTCTTTGTGTCTGCCATGGCACTGGGGCACTCAGCATTCCTCATGCCAACAAGACACCCATGAAGTTATAAATGAAACTGATGGGACCATTAAAACATATTTTGATTATAAATCCTTCTGGGATTGCCATCTTTGTTTCTTTGTCAATAGTATTTGTGGTGGTCTAGCTACAAAATATGGGATGGTGCTTGGGAAGTGGATGATGCCTTGGGAGTTTTTCATTCATTAAGAGCAGAATTTCAGTGCAGAAATTGAAGAGTAAATGCAGCCTTACAGTGATGTGGCCTCCAGATTTCTCAGTCTGTGCCCTTGGGGTTGCTGGGACTGCCCTGGTGGGGAGCTCCTGGGACTGGTGTCCCTGCAATGTTCTTCGGCCAGCGTGTGGGATCACTGGGTGGATGCAGATTGTTGGTTTTATTGGCATCTCGTGGTTCTTGGAGCATCCTCTGGCCTTCTGCATTCCTGGGAGAAGAGGCACGATTGGGTTCTTCTCCACCTTGTGTTATAGACTGCCATCAAATTCAGCAGCAGCTCTGCTTTGGTGGTGTTCGGTGCAGTGTCCAGAGTGTGATTTTGGCAGCTGTGGGAATTAGGGATATTTTTCCCGCTTGGTTTTGCTACAAGCTTTACTACTTCCTGCAGAATCTGCCCCTTCACAGGGGCTGCTGGGACCTCACGTGGTTGGGAATGCAATCGTGGGCTGTGCTCGCCGAGGAGCCCAAGTTTGCAGGGCAGGTCTGGCGTGAGAACCATCACCCAGCACAGGCTACAAACCTGGGCTGCGAAATCCCCCTCTGGCTTTGGCAGAGCTGGAGTGAGAGGAACTCCAAGGGGCTGTGGTGAATTTTGGGGGGTGAAGCCCACAGGAGGTGCTGCCTTGCCCGCTTTGCTTGTGCTCAGCGTCCCCAGAACATCTGTGTGCCGCTGTGTCAGAGCACATGTGGGGTTTGCACGGGGAGGTTCTTCCTTGCTGAAAATCAGATTTTTTTTGCTCCGTCTAAAACCAGTTTTCATCTAGTTTTTAAATTGACTTTGGGTGGCCTTTAAATTTCTTATCTGCTGGAAGCATCTCTAGGCTGTGGATCTCTTCAGATACACTCCACTCCTTCTATTTTTCTATGTAAGAATCATTAAGAGTTGATAAAATCTTTAAAACAATTGTGGATTTTGAATGAGTGATGGGTTAGAAATATCAGAAGTACTCAAGTAAATAAAAAGACAGAAGAAAAATAGTAATAAATATTTATAAGGAGAGGTTTTTCATGTACATAATCTAAATTTCCTGTTATGTAATTTGTTTTAGCGGTGGGTTTGCGTGCGCTCTTTTCTGATTTTTCTTCTTTTTTTTATTTTTTTTTTTTTTGGCTGATAAATTGTGTTTCTGATTAAAAAAAAAAAAAAAAAAAAAAAAAAGAAAATTTTAAACGAACTGGAGCGAGTGAAATGAGAAAGGCCAGTTTGGAAAATGACATTTTCCAGCCAAAGTGACTCCTGGGCGGGTGATTCCCATGGATCTCACTGGAAATCCCGTCACAGATGGGGGTCTGCAGCCCCCCAGCTCCCACCCTGCCCCTCACCCGGGGTGAGTCCCTCGCTGGTGGTGCCTCAGTGGCTCCACTTCCCCAACAAACACGGCCCTTTATTTACGTATTTCTGGAGGATGGATTGGTGTTTGTAACCTGTAATTATACAGGCACGGGAGGATGACACAGCCCTTCCCTGCCAAAGATTCCACCTAATCTGACAGTTCCCCAAAAGCTCCACGGAAATGTGGCAGCAAAAGGCTCTGAGTGGGAGAAATTAAAACTCCTTTTCGTAGCACGGACCGTTCAGGGTTCATTTTTCTTTATCTGCTCCGTGTTTAGGGTGTTATTTCCATTTTAGCGAACAAGCGTGTAAATAAAAAGCAAAATTAAGAGGGAAAAAAATGCCAAAGGAATGATGCCAGTGAGGCTGATGCTCCTGCTTAGAGTTTATAAACAGGCCGAGGGTTTTACGGAACCGACTGTGAGGCATAAAAAGGCTTTCACGAGCGTCCTAAATTAAAACGTATTGATATATTTTTTGTACAAATATTCCCCCCGCACGATTACGAGTCCCAGGCACGGCAGCGTGGTTTGAGGGCATGTGAGCCAGAAATTAAAACCCAGCCTGAGAGCCTGATTTAATTACCCTGCTAAGCGAAAGGCAGAAGGGGGAGAATAAACAGCGGAGAAGGCGACTCTGTGGGTGAAACATCTGAACAATCCGCGACTTTCCCGGGCTGCGTTTCTCTGTTTGATGTGGCTTTGCAGTTGACTGGGTGTCCTTACCAGGAACTGTGAATTAACGTGGCTGTTGGGAGTGGAGCTGGGGGTAACCCAGGCACGTCCCGGCACGTGGGGGTTCCCCCCACGCACGTCTGATCGCGCCTTTTGTTTTCCGTGGATACAACTGACAGACACAGGAGGGAAAAGGAAGCAGGTCTGTGAGCTCTGCCAGGACCCCTCGAGTTTGCAGCTGTCCCCACGTGGATTTTAATGCACTGCTGGGTGGGGGATTTATTCGGACCAATTGTCCCATCAGTCTCAGTGGGTGAAATCCTGATCTCGCCGGCCCGAGTGGCCAGAACGCTGTGACTGCAGGAAGCTCATTTTTTACTCCAAGGGACCAATGCAACTCGCTGTGTATTTTTTATTAATTCTATTGGCTGTGTTTTATTTAACCATCACTAAAAGCCTCTCTCCCTTCATTAACAGGGCTATTCATTATTTGTGAGGGTAGAGAACATCCCTTTTTCACTCTGAGAGTGCAGAGGTTTGAAAATGCAATTATGCAGGGGAGTCTTGGCGCTAGTTCTTTGGCTGTGTGAGTGGTTAGTTACTCCTAAGTAACTGCACAGGTAAGCACTTGTTCCTGCTACTTAATTTTCCATGGATTTATTTCTCCAGGCTCCTCCCTTTGTTTATGATGGCATCTGGAAACAAAGTACAGACAAACTCAAAGGGAGGAAAAAAAAAAAAAAAAAAAGAAAACCTAGAAGCAAAGCCAGGGAAGACACACTGTGCATATCTCCTGGTTTATAAGTTTCCTGTTTGATAGAACCATGTCTTAATAAACAAATAAATAAAACTCAGTGCCTAATTTCTCGTTGCTGGAGCGGCAGCAGCCCCACACCCTGGGTTATGCAGAGCATTAGAGCCATCCATGGTGGCAAGGTAAAAATAAACACAAACTACACAACCAAGTGGGATTTTTATGCTGTTGAGTGTTTCAAGGTTGGTTTTGCTTTTGGTTTTGCTTTGCTATGAAATTTCGTGTTTTCAGTAAATGTTGCTCTTACATCACTTGAGCTGCAACACTGGTACCCAAAATCTCCGGAATTCACAGGGAGGGTCCCAGGGGGCTGAGAGGGGGGAAGGTGTTGGGGTTTTTCCAGCCGTTTCCCTCCCAGGTTTCCCCGGAGCTGGTGGGAGCCCAGGCTGGAGGCGATGGGAATTGCTGATATTCCTCTGCCCTCTGTAGGAGAAGCGCCCGCATGAGCCGAGCTGCGGGATGGGATCCAGCGGCATCCCAGCATCCCGCTCTGCCCGAGCCTCTCCTCAGCCCAGAACACCTCTGTACTCATTTTTAGAGCCTTGAAAGGAAGATAAGGAGCAGGGAAGAGTCTCGTGTTGACCAGAAGGGGATGAGCATCAGCCTGCCCAGGTGGCTGCTGGTCCTTTGCAGGTGAAATCCCAGCACTGGTTGTGGAAAGGCCAAACCCCAGAGCCCAGGCTGACCCCTTGAAGCCGCTCACTGTGGGGTCTAAAGTTCAGATCTACATCTGCAACCCGGATTTGAGATGCTGATTCTGGGTCCCTGCTCCCTTGTAACAAATTACGTGCCGACCTCTATTGCCATTCCCCAGTTCCAGGCAATTCCTTGTGTTTTGGGGACACCTTAGTACAGAAAGTGGCCGTGAGATGCTGTCAGCAGGCAACTCCAGGAGAACCTGTCCTTGTTAACACTCCCCACAGGTCACTTCTGCATTGCTTGGCTGCTGCTCCTAGGCCAGAGTTTGTCCCCAGGAGCCAAAATTACTGGATTCACCATGGTTTGTGTAACCCTGGTGTAACTCTGGTGTAAATCTGATGTAAGGATCCATCTGTGTGCAAGGACTAGAGCTGCCCAGAGAACCCAGATTTTGGCTCTGGCTGCTGCAGAAGGGACCCTGGCTTTAGCAGAGGCCAAAAATACTTAACATACAGGACAAGAGAAGAACTAACGCAGGTTTTAGCTGGGGCTAAAAAAGCACAATGTTGACTTAAAGCAATAATAGTCACATTTTGCATTATTTAACAGGATTTTGCTATTGTGCCACCTTTATCCTGCTACTCGAAGACCCCTCTTCCCCTCCCGATGTACACAATTACCACTATTCCCCCCATTACTGATGGGGGAACCGAGGCAGTGGGTAGGGGGGCTCAGGGAGGCTCTGGGGGGGTATTTATCACTATTGCCCCTGGCCGTGTCCTCCGTGCCCCCCAGCCCGGACTCTGCCAGGCAACAGAGGGGACACTCGCGAGGTCCCAGGACCCGCTGGGCCCGAATGGAATCCGGGGGGACCCTGCGATCCCTCGCGGCCGATGGGCGATCGGACCCGGCCCCCGATCTCTTTGGGCCGGGACCCTACGGGACCCGCCATCGCTCCCCGTGGGACTCGACGAGACCCCCGCGATGGCTCCCGATCGGGACCCTGGTGGTCCCCCCGATCGCTCCCGCTTGGGACCGTGCGGGACCCCCCGGTCTCTCCGGACCTGGACCCTGCGGGAACCTTCGACTGCTCCCGGTTGTGACCCCGCGGGACCCCCCGATACGTCCTGGCTGGGACCCCGTGGGATCCCCCCCGTGTCCCCGGGCGGGTGGGCGATAGGACCCAGCGGGTGGGCGATAGGACCCAGCGGGCCACAGCCCCAGCCTTGGCCCCGCCCCGGCCCCGCCCCTCCCTCAGGCCCCGCCTCCCCTGCTCGCCCCACGCCCCCTCCAAGATGGCGGCGCCCTTGGCGGAGCAGCTGCGGGAGCTGCTCGACCCCCGGCCCGCCCTGCGCGACCCCGAGGACGACGCGGAGGAAGGTGCAGGAGACCCGGGGGAGGGTCGGGCACCGCGGCCTGGGCCGGGCGGGCGGGGGGGTAGCCGGCGGGGGCGGCCCGGGCGCTGCCAGAGTGGCCGCACGTGGCGCGGCGTGTGCGGGGATGGGCCCGGGCCGTGGCGGGGCCGGGGCCCCTCAGCCCCTTCGGGCACCCCGAGCTGCGCTCCACGGTCCCCCGGAGGGGGTTACCTCGGCAGCGGGGTTATTCCGGGGCTGGGGCGGTCACAGCTTCCCTGGGCAAAACTTCCCACTGCGGTGGTGCCAAGAGTGAGAATTCCAGGAGATGCCTCGAGTCCCGCATTCTGCCTCTGCCCCCATTGCCCAGCCCTCCCATCCTGCCATCCTCCCGTAGCTGCACTGACTCTTACTTGGGTGAGGTTTGGTTACGAGCAGGAGATTGTCCTGTCTCCCTCTGTGCGAGGCATTAACGTTTCCGAACAGGCGTAAAGAGCACTCAGCGATTTGGATGCTCGATTGCTCCAACAAAGCTAACCCTGTAATTTGGCGTACGGGGCGTCTTGCACACGAGCGAGAGCAGGGAGGGAGGACGGGCTGCTGTGTTCTCTGGGCTGGGCTGCTCTGCTCTGTGTCCTGGAGAGGATGGGCATGGGTAATAACCACAGTTGTTTTCTCTGTGGAATATTTCTGAAATGTTTACGTGTTTTTTTTTTTTTTAGTGGCTTACGTGTGTATAGCAAGAGGCCAAAGTGCACCTGAATTGGCGTTTTCCTCTTTTAATCTGTGAGCTTTGAGTGAGTGAGGGCATTCCAGCTTTGCAGAGTCCTCCACATGCAGGACTGTTCTCAGGAGACTCCTGGATCCGTGGAAGGGCTTGGATAGGCTTCGTTTGTCCAATGCTTCATGCTTGTCCTCTAAAATAAAGAGAAGCCAGGAAAGTGCGAGTGTAGGTGATGTTCATTTAAAAAAAAAAAAATTAGCAGGGTTATTTTGGTGTTTTTTGATAAACATTGATCTGTGCATTGCAGGGGAGTCCAGTGCTATCAAACCTGTGCATGGAGAAGGCCAGAGGTCTGAAATTGGTCAGATAAAGGGCTCACCTTTTCCCCCTTTTTGGAATTTACTGTGCTGGCTTTCCTGCACCTCTCAAAGCCTAAAAACCAGCTTCTTGTGTGAGGCCCTGTTCCCATCCATCCCATCAGCATTACTGTTTGCAGAGCTTGAGGAGTTTCCTGTGGCTCCTTCCTGCAGTTGGTTCTTCTAGACTGGAGTTCAGTTCAGTTTAGTCACCCCTTCCCTCTTATTTGTTTTTTTTTCTCCCACAGCTACTGTTGCTAAAGTGATTGACAGATTTGAGGATGAAACCTCAGATGACGTTTTGCCTGTTGGTAACATAAGGAAAAGAGTTTCAGCCTCTCTCTTGGAAGCTGATAAAAGGTACAGTGGAAAAGCCACATCTCGCAAAGCTTTGCAAGAAGAGCTCTGGGGAGATGCTCTGTCTGAAGAAGGATCTGGTAAGAAATCCCTTTTTTTCCCCTTTTTACTGGACTGCTCCAAATGTTATCCTGGCATGGAACTGAGTCAGTGCATCTAAACTGAGGTGACAAACATTAGGGCCCTGTTACAGGGCAAGAAACAGGTACAGTTAAGTTGGACAGACTGAAGTGCCTTCCTGGAATTCAGGCTGTATTTTTTGGCCTGAGGGAAGGGGAAACTCCAAAGAGAAGATCAGTTCCACAGGTTGAGGAACCAGAGATAAGGTGAGGTTCAGTGCACTAACTGAACATTGTGTGTGTGTGGGAAAGAAACAGCTCCCATTGTTAAGCCAATATATATACAAGTGGATAAAGATTCTCATTTAAAAATACATATAAAAATTCTGACCACTTTGTTTCCTTGTGATGGCACTGTGCGATGGGAAAGCTCAGCCGTGGATCTGCTGATTGCTGGCTGCAGAAAATGTGAGCAGAGATCTTTCTGTGACTCTGACCTCGTGTTTCCATTTTTTAGCCCAAGCAAAGAGTGACATCATCCACAGGTAGAACTGGAGCTCAGACAGCCCAAACCTGAGCTGTTGCTGATGAACCCTGCGAAGTGGCACGTTTTTCTGACGAGTAAATAACTTTTTTCTCTTTTAATTCTTAGCTGAAGAAGCTCTAGATGACTGGTACAGCGGCAGTGAAGGTTCAGAAGAGGATGACAGTGCAGCCACTAAAGCAAAGGAGAAGCCCAGCAGTGACCAGGAGGATGACTTGGATGATGATGAAGAGACAGATCCATCTATCAAGGACAAGGCACCAAAGTTCAGCTTCCAGAATATCACAGACTTCGAGAAATTTGCAGAGGGGATGGACGATGCCGGAAGCAGTGAGGGGGAAGATGAAGATGAAGAGGAAGATGAAAATGAAGATGAAGATGCCATGGAAGAAGGAAGCGAGGAGAAGGAGGAGGAATACGGGAGTGAAAACCACGACGATGCAAAGGAAACCAGAGACAGCGAAGATGATGGGGGGGTGATGACCTTCTCCAAAGGCCAAGAGTCTGAAGAAGTAGAGAAGGGCAAAGCTGTGAGGAACCAGCTAGGTTTGTGCATGTTTGCTCTGTGTCTTGACAAGCCTGTCACCTTGCTGACACTGTAGAAAGCAGCCACATTAGGAGCCGCCTTGGCATGTTAATGTGCTGTTAACACGCTGCGTGTGCATGCTACAGCAGCCCCAGACACCTGCAGATGTTCTGCCAAGGCTGCTGTGCAAGCTGGTGTCTCTGCTGCTGCAAAAGCTCGTCTTGTGAAGTGTGTTTATCCACCAGTTTATGCACTTAATTGAACCAGTGCTGAATATACTCGTGGTATCAGTGTGGGGTCACAGGGACTTTCTGCACTGGTTGTCTCATGCAGTGATGCCGATAACACTTTGTTTCTGTTCAAAGTGCAACACTGAATGGAATTTCTTCCTGTCTGTCCTGTTAAACTATCCAACCTCCATTTGCAAACTGTCCTTTCAAACAGTAGAGCAGAGGGGTAGTTTGTTTTTGGTGATCCCAGTTGCAGTTGGGATCCTGGGATCATGCTTTGCCCAGACACTCCTTGTGGTACCAACGTTGTGCTGGGTCAGTGCATGCAAAGATTTGCTCTAACCAGGACTGATGCAGCCCAAAGGAGAGGGGCTGTGCTGTGAAGTCCTTCACAGGGAACAGGTGTTTTGGCTTGCTGAATAATTGCTTTATTTCCTTTTTTTTTTTTTCTGAAGCGCTGTGGGATCTGCTGATGGAGGGCAGAATCAAGATGCAGAAGGCACTGGTGACGGCCAACAGGCTCCCCCAGCCAGACACCTACCCGGGGTTCAGAGAGGAGGGTGGACAGCAGTTCGACAGCGCTGTGGAGAGCTGTAAGAATCCTTTAACCTTTCTGCTTTGGTTCCACTCTGCTGCAGCTAGTGTGCTTTGCTGTGTGGGGAAGCACTAATGGGAAAGTGAGGGCTTGGAGTTTTACCTGCCATTGGTTTTCAGTACCTTGGGTGAGCACCCTGTGGAAGATCCCAAGAAGCCCTTTATGTGAACCCACTTAGTAGGAAACAGCGTAGTGGTGTCCAAAGTCTCTCATGCTGCACATCAGGGGTGTCAGACATCACCTGAACCCTCAGGTTTGCTCTGGTTCTCCACCCCTTCAGCCATACCTTGTAGTGATTGAGAAATTTTGGTGAGCTGGCACAAATCATCTTTGGATGGGGAGCTTTGGCCATCCTTGCCCATGATCCTGACTGTTGCCCTTACAGCAAGTTTTGGCTGTGATCTCCTGGCTTACACCTGATCAGAACATGGCAGGTAATCATCTTCTCTGGAGTTACAGCAGGTGAGGCACTTTCTGGTTTAAAGTTGGCCCTGCTGCTTTGACTGAAGTGATTAAGGACAAAAAGGCAAACTCCCAACAATGCTGTGCTGACCTTTCGGTGGAACACACGTTATTAATGCCTTTAATGAGATGCATTACAAACTGCACCAGCTCCATGTTTCATTACAGGTCTAAAATGCAATATCATTAAAGACCTTTAACAGAAACAATGGTTGACATTTTGATATTTCCCATAAGCAAAATACATCCCAGAGCATGGAGTGTGATGTCCAGAGTGCAGCAGAGGCTAATCCTTCAGTTGTCCAGAACTCTGAGGGAAAATCCACTGTTGGTAACTGCTCAGTGATTCCTCCTTCTAGTGATCTGGACAGGGAGGTTGTGAGAGTTCGCTCTGATGTTCCTCAGGGCTCAGGTTTGTGTTCTGTATTTCATCTGGGAGGACAGTAATAAAATAAAGCTGCGGTGACCTGGGCAAAGTCAGCACAGGAAGTGCTCAGACAGGCAGGAAGTAATGAATTTAGGAACATTCTACTTCTGCTGCGCTTGTTTGGTGTTTTCCCGTGTTCTCTAATGGGCCAAAATTACGTTCCTTTTTTATTGCTGTTTTTTAAATTGAAATCTGTAATTATCCAATAAAGCAGGCTACAATAAACAGTCATTTTGATGAGCTGCACTATTGTGTGCAACTTTCACTGCCTGCAAAGATGCTTTTTCCAGAAGTTACAAAGTGCATGAAATAAGGAGTAAATCTGTATCGAAGGACTGTAGGGATGTAGTTGGTGTTCTGTGGCACAGACCCTTTTCTCTCTCACTTTGCTGTGCTGGGCCCTGTGAGAGGGTTTATGTCTGATCCCAGCCTAGCCTTACCCCCCGAGCTGGGTCACATCTTCACTCACAGGGCTGTTGTGACCTGGCAGTTCAGGAGGTCAAACTAAGTCCTTTCTGAAAAGATGCATCATAACATATTTAAAGCTCTTTCATGAATTGATGCACCTTGATTTATGAGGGGGGGAAAAAATCTCACCATAAATCAACTTCCAATAAAAGTCTTAATTTTTGGCTGATCAAGTGCTTTAGTGGCTTCTATATAAAAATAAGCTTTTTTATTCAGTTCTGACCAGTGATTTGTGGGCTGGGTAAGCATTTCTGGACTCCTGAGTTCTCATCCCAGTTGGTTACCAGCTTATGGGAGAATTGTGCATGGAAAAAGTTGAAAGAGGAGGCGAAAACAGGCCCTTGTAAATCCTGAATGTTGAGGTGGTTCGCTGTATGTGATGTGCTTCAGTCTTGGATAGGATTTGGGATAATCAGGACATTGACACTGCTTTGGGACTGGATGATGCTCTCCTTTCAGGGAAGCCCCAGCACTTGTTTCCAAATCCACAGAATAAATTTGGCATGCTTTCATCATCTTCAGTGAGCAGGAGGAAACGATGTGGCGTCCAAGCTGCACAGACGAGTTGGTGCCAGAATTCCAGACTGTGGGTGAAACACTGTTGGATGCTGAAGGCAGGAGGCTCCCAGTGCTCTCTGAGCTCCTGGACAAGTCCCCTCACATCTCCTTGTGAGCTGCCCCTGTATGTTTTCAGTACTTTATCCCAAATCCTTCCTTTCCTCGTGGAATTTCTGCTCTGTGCTCACGGGAAGGATGATTTTTTTTTTTTTGTAAATTGGAAAATGGTCCTTCATGTATTTGCCTCTTTGGTACCTTCCACTTAGGCCAACCCTGTTGAGGTGGTGAAATTCCCCAAGGGCTTGAGTATAATTGTGTTAAAGAGTAGACAGCAGTGCTCCATCCATTTGCAGGTTTAAAGCCCAGTCTGAGTGAAAATGGGCAAGGTCATGCTCATTTTCCAGGTTTTGAGATTGGAGGTTACAAAACCTCGAGTGTTTAATTTATTATTTTTGTAGTCTTTTATGATTTTTTTTTTTTTTAATGTTGCAGCGTGCTTCGGACAGTCTTAGATTCCTGAGATCTCAGGTTCTGGTAGATGATTTACTGCAAAATTGCTTATAAATTGAAGTAGAAAATGTTTTGCAGACCTGGCAGCTTTCAGGCTTCACACCCATTTGTCACCCAGCATTTCCCTTTGTGTATAGAACAAGAATTAATTAGGCTGCACTGCAGGAAAAGTTTATGGCCATAATTTATATAGGATGAATTTCTGTTTAAAGAGACAGCATTGCTTTGTTTGTGCTGTCTTGGTTTTTATTCCCCCCCCCCTTTTTTTTCTTTTTTTTAAATCTTTAATTATATTCCAGATTTTTTCCTGTCACCCTTTTTACATACAAATTGGAGACCAAACTGTGGTCGTGGAGCTCGTGTTTATTTCTGTTTCTCACCCATGGAGGAAGAGTGGATGGTTTTTAGTGCTGAAATCAGAGTGGCTGAGCTCTGAGTGCAGCACAAATGGCCAGGGTTTCATGCCCTGCACACACGAGCTCCCCCAGCTTGGAATTCCGAGGTGCTGCTGCCTGGAGTGGGCTGTTTCCACAAGATATATTTGTATTCTCCTGCACTGTATCTTCCAGTCTAGTCCAGGGCTTGAGATGTTGCCTCTGTTTGGGGTCTTGCACGTTCAATTAATGTTTTTCATAATCAATGCAAGTCAGAATTTGCAATCTGCTCCTGATTTGCACATTAAAGAGACCCATTAATTAAAAATTCCAATCCCTGGCATGTTCCCGCAGGATCCTTGCATTATTTACATAGAAAAGGAGTGCAAGGTGCAAGTTTCTGGGCTGTGTCTCTGCACAGATTGCTTGCCTGCCATTCACGCTTCGCTGTATGTTTGCAAGGGACAGGAAGGTTTGAAGTGGATCTCACGAGAATGTCACCAAAAATCACCTCGAGGGCAAGGGAGAGCCAAAGAAGAGGTGGAAGTGAAGCCACATCCAATGTCAGGAATTAAACAGTTCCAGGGTTTGGGGCTTGTTATGTTAAATCTTGATAAAGTGACAAAACACCACAAATAATTGAGGGGCCAAGGAGGCAACAAGAGCTTTAAAAATTAAATCTCTCCATCCACAAAAACCTTGGGCTTCCCAGTACGGACACATAGCTCTGTTCCTGCTATTTTAATTGCTTTTTCTTCATAATTCTTGGTCAAAAATACTAAACTGGGAATGTTTCAGTGACTAATACTTTATGCTCCGTAAAAAGAGCTGGGAATTCCGGCTTTTAGATAGTATATTGTGCTATTTCCACTTTTTAGTTGGTGAGATGAGTTAAAAATGTACAGAAACTCAGGTGAGGATTTTGCAGGAGGCGAGAAGCTGATGGAAACTGCAGGACTTTGAAGGGACAAGTAGTTGAGTATGTTTTTGTAAATATATGCTTTCACTTTCCAAGAGTTCAGGAGGTCCCTGAAATGTAAACTCGCTGAATATTTGTGGTTTGTTTAGTTGGTTTTTTTTTTTGGTTTTGACTCCATCTGTCAGGTGGATTAAGAGAAAATACCAGAATCCCATATTTCTATTCCTCAGCATAAGCTCAAGATGATTTCAAGAGAAATGGGGAAAATAGTAGTTTTGGTAAAAGGTAGATACGCAGGGTCTGTCAGGATGGATTTGCTCACTGAGGGAACAAAAGGGGAGACAACAAATATGAACTGTTATTTACTCTTTGTAGGGCTGTGGTGAAGTTACACAAAGATTTGTGATCAGTAAGAAAATAAACCTGAATAAAGTGAATCAGATAAAAAAATCAAATGCAGTGCTCCACGTGCTCGCAAGGCCATTATCCCCAAACCTGCTTGGATTATTAATGGGATTAATGGAACAGCAGCAGTGAGCTCTGCCTGGCAGCAGCCTCAACTAGCAGCACAGTGCCTTGGCTGCTGCTGATAGACCCAGAATTCATACAGCTGCTTGAATTCTGCTCAAGTGTGGGCATCTTTTCTCAAAGTGCTTCCCAGTCCTGCTTTTCCTTCTCCGTCCTGAGTTTGGACAGCGGGACATCAGAGCGTGGGCACCTTCCCCCTGTTTAAGTGGGGTGTGGTGAAGAAAGCACGAAAGAAAGGTGGGGAAAGGTGAAACAAGGGAAAGGAGCGTGAAGTTTGTAGGAACTCGCTGTTCAGAATTTACTGCAGCCAGTTTGTTCAGCTCAGAATCCATGGCTGGATAACTTGCAGCGTCCAAGGCCAGGCTGGACGGGGCTTGGAGCAGCCTGGGATGGTGGGAGGTGGAACGAGATGAGCTTTGAGATCCCTTCCGACCCAGACCGTTCTGTGATTCTATGATGAGTTATCCCCTCGAGATGTTGCATATCTCAGGTGCAGCCCAACAGTTGGTGTTTCATGATGTTCTATTGAAAAGAAGAGCTAAAAGGAGCGCTTGGAGAACTCTGCAGGGTTTGGCAGGGGCTGCGCGAGGCCGGGTGTTTGTGGCCCTCTGGGGAGTGAAGGAGTCGTGGAATCTTTGTTCCTAAAGCTTTGACTGAGCCAGAAATGGCTGTTTCTGGGGTGGAAATGGGTGCCTTTGTGGCCAGTGTGCTGGGAGGGGGCCGTGCTCCCACCTGGAGCTCCCTGGACCTTT